GTCCACCCCAATGTTCTGGCAGGTCGAGGGCCTTCATGGGTCACCTGCTCTTGCATCGCAGTTGGTACTTTGTGGGGGGTGTCTGCTGGGGTTGGCAATGTCCTTGTTGTGATATCCAGGCAGGAACTTGTAGGGCGAGACAAAGTGAGAGGGGTGCCCTAGCAAGGTACTTTGGAGAGGGGGGTCTGGCAGCATTTATTTCCCAGATGGCTCTTGTACTCGAGGAATGAGTCAACAAGTAAACAGTCATGACCCTCCACCGCTTCCCAAACTGACCTCCCACACAAGGCCATTTGTCAACAACCCCGGGGACAAGAGTTCCTTGCAGATTCTGTAAATGTGCTTAAGGCTCAGCTGAAGGCAGAGTCCAGAGTGTGGCCAAGTGCCGGGTCCAGTCAGGTCATAGTCAAGGTCAGGGGCCCAGGACAAGGGCCATGACTCTCGGCTGAACTCTACCCTGAGTGGGTTTTCTTGCCAAGGCCCCACATTGATTCGGGGCATCTCTACCTCGTGCACTCCCCGGAGGCAGCCCAGTGAGGGTCGATGGAGAAGACGCTGCGAAATCAGACCCCACCTGAGTCCCACCAGGGCTTTCATATTAGCCTTGTGGACGTAGGTGGGTATCTTCTCTGCACTGAGCCTCAGTGCCCCCGTCTGTAGCAGGAACACCATGATTATACCCTCCTTACTGGATAGGTTTGAGCATTAAATGAGAGTTTGCATGAAAAGTGTAGCACCTGTCGCATAATAAATACATGATTATCATTAACTTAGCCTCTGTCAGTGAAAACGGCCTCCCCCTCCCTGTTTTCCGTGACCATGGACCCTGATCTCAGCCACACTTGATCCTAAAATCCCCCTGCTGGACTTCACTCGGTTGGCAACAGTCGCTGAGGCCGCACACATGAAAACACCCACGTCCTTGGCCATGGACGTTCCACCACCCCCCTCCCACCTTCTCTGATGTGGCAGGAACAGAGATGTAATTGAGAGCCTTCGGTCCCGAGATGAGGCAAGATCTGCTCGGGGATTTCTCACTGTTCTCCCAGAAAGAGGAGGAACTGGGCCCATTCGAGAGAGAGTCTGCACCTGGAAGTCGGTGCCCAGGAGGTCACCCCTGAAGGACCTACAGAGGAGTCTGTGTCCTGTGGCCTAGGAGGCTGCATTGCGGGTCAGTGTGTGTGTGTGTGTGTGTGTGTGTGTGTGTGTGTGTGTGTGTGCTCAGTGACTCCGCTGTGTGCATATCAGGGGCAGGGTGGTGGGGGGACCCAGGCTTTGCACGGCCAGGTTCATACCCCAGCTCTGCAGCTTCCAAACTATAGAAGCATGGAGAGTTAGCTTTATAGCCCCAGGTCTTGGGGTCCTCAGCTGAAACAAGGGGAAAGGCCAGGGGTGGTGGTACACACCTGTAATTCCAGCAACTCCAGATGCTGAGGCGGGAGGATCACAAGTCCATGGCCAGACTGGACAGCTTAGAGAGAGACCCTATCTCAAAAAATAAGTAAAAGGGCCGGGGGTGTAGCTTGGTGGTAGATGCCCGGGGCTCCATCCCCAGCTCTCACAATTACTGCATGGATCACAAACACCTGGCACAAGGTCTTGGCTGTGGCAGGTTCTCAGGTGGTGGCTTCTGTCCTTCGTGGCATGTTGGTTTTCCCGTGGATTTGTTTTCCGCAGGCACAGTTTGGGTTATCCAGTGATTGTGCCACGTCTCTCTCCCAGAGTGACCCTTGATCAGGGGCCACCTGTTTGCATTTCTGTTTTTGGAAGGAATTGTAAGAAAGCATCACTGGCGAGTCTTCTCGGCTCGATGCTGTGGAGGGTAGAAGCGGAAGGTTTAGCACATGCGCGCTAACACCCTTTGCCTGCTGGGGTGGACGGCTGAAGGTGAGAGGGGGGTCTCTCCCTGAGATGGGCTCCAGATCCCCATCTTAATTAGCTCAGCAAATATTTACTAATGTCCACTGCGATGCTCAGAGCTGCAAGACGAGGGACAGCGACTCAGGCTTGGAGGTGGTTCTGGCAGAGCAACGTGGCTGTGGGAGGAGAGGACAGGGCTGCTCAGCTCTGGGGGTGGGCGTCCTCCCAGGGTGGCTGGCCTGTTTAAGGCACTGGGAGACCAGAAGGCCAGGTGGGAAGACAGGTTGGTGGGTGTGGGGCCCAGGCAGAGCCCCTCGGGGTTTCCTGGTGGGCATCTGAGGATTAGGTCCTCGAGGAGAGGGACAGACAGACAGACCTGGGCTTGCAGGTGAAGGCAGAACCCTTCCTGTGGATCTGGGGGGCCTGGCAACAGGGCCATTGTGAAGCTGCCAGGCCCCCAGGGCAGGCCACAGTCACCAGAGTCCCCAGGCTGGGAGCAAGTGGCCTGACCCAGTGGATGCGGGCAGTAGAAGGTGACCCCTGTTTCCATCAGAGCTGGGAGGGTGGGGCGTGGCGCCCAGTGGCCGGGATTCTCAGGGAGGTCCACTGTGGGGCATGGGGGGGGGAGCTGGAGGTGCCCAGCCCCGGACAGTAGCACAGCCATGCCAGGGAGATTGTCACAGTGACTGATGGCATGTCCACTGTCACAGCCTTTCAGCAGAGCCTGGTGTCCGTAGGCAATGAAAATAGGGAAGTAGGATGGGAAGCCAGGAAGTGCTTTCTGTGCCAGGTGTAGGTGCATGCGCAGCGGGGAAGGCCTTTCCTTTTTTTTTTTTTTTAATATTTATTTTTTAGTTGCAGTTGGACACAACGCCTTTATTTTATTTATTTATTTTTATGTGGTGCTGAGGATCGAACCCAGGGCCTCACACGTGCTAGGCGAGCTCTCTATTGCTGAGCCACAACCCCAGCTCCCCCCCAAGGTCTTTTCTTGAGGCCCAGAGTGACCCCAGCAAACCCAACAGATGCTCTCTTCCCCACCCAGCCCAGGAAGTGAACTTCCCAAGGCCAGGAGTGGATTTCACTAGTGTCTCCCCAGCTCCTGGCACAGCGGCAGGTGGAGGTGCTCGGAGGGTGGCTTCTGTGCTTGATCTTCATCTAATAAGTGTGCAGAGCCCCGCTGTGCAGAATGGTGAAGGATAGATGCGTAGGTGGAAAACATTGTACATTTTTGATGGGAATATCCCTAGTGGTCAAGGTCACAGTGTCTTGGGGAAAGGAGAAAATGAGATTGAGATCGAAAAGGTACTTCCACTTCATCTCAATGTTGTTGAAATCTGAAAAGAACTGAAGAAAATGGGACTACAAATATTGGTTAAATCTGAACAGTAAGTACGTGGGATCCTATTATATTAATCTTTGTAATTTAGAAAATACTTCTGCTCAGCGTGGAGGCACATATCTGTACTCCCAGGCAGGAGGAGCTCCAGGTGGACACCAGCCTATCTCAAAATAAATTTTTTTAAAAAGAGATGGGGGAGCTGGGGTTGTGGCTCAGCGGTAGAGCATTTGCCTGGCACCTGTGAGCACTGGGTTCGAGCCTCAGCACCACATAAAAATAAACACATAAAATAAAGGTATTGTGTCCATCTACAACTAAAAATATTTTAAAATAAAACAAAAAACTGATTTGTAGCCGGGTGCAGCTGCACACGTCTGTAATCCCAGTGGCTCAGGAGGCTGAGACAGGAGGATTGCAAGTTCAAAGCCAGCCTCAGCAAAAGCAAGGTGCTAAGCAACTCAGTGAGACCCTGTCTCTAAATAGAATACAAAATAAGACTGGGGATGTGGCTCAGTGGTTGAGTTCAATCCCCAGTACCAAAACAAACAAACAAACACCAAACTGATGTGTACCTGGGCACAGTGATATATGCCTGCAGCCTCAGCCCCCTGAGTGGTAAGGTTACATGCACAAACACCACGCCTGGTTTAGAATTGTGAATTTTGATTCATTGTGGTGTCGGGGAAGGGGGGAACGATATACATTGTACACTCCACGAGTATGTTTAAGTCTGAGTTCTGTCTCTTCCTCGCTGTGTGACTTTGGCAAAATCGTTCTACCACTCTGAGCCTCCCCTCGCTCCATAGCCAAACGTGGAGGACATCCGCTTCCCAGTGATGGAGGGAGTAAGCGAGTGTTCGGAGGTGCTGAAGACAGAGACACTCTTGCAGGGCAGATGGTCAAAATGCAATCTCTCTCTTCCCATGAAGGGTTTTCTCACCTTTGTTCTTTCTTCTCTGGTCCTCAAATTATGCCCAGCCTGTTCAAATACATCTTGTCCAGTAAATTGCTTTCCACTGCCAATGGTCTATATGCCTGACAACTTAACCGGAGCTAAAGTTTTCATCTATCTCTTTCTTCCTCTCTTCTTTTATTCTTCCTTAGATCTTAAAACTTCTGTCAGGCCTGGTGGCCCACGCCTGTAATCCAGAGACTTGAGAGGCTGAGGCAGGAGGATCTCAAGTTCAAAACCAGCCTCAGCAATATAGCAAGTTCGTTGCCCGAAGCAACCCAACACAATACTATCACAAAAATAAAAAGTTAAAAAAGCGGGGGGGGGGGCGGGGGGGGACTTTGAGGATGTGGCTCAATGGTTAAGCACCCCTGGGTTCAAAACCTGGTACAAAAAAAAAAAAAAAAAAAAACCAAAAATGCAAAAGCACCATTTCAGTCCTTATTGCGGGTGAAGAAGAGCTGATGGAATGGAGGTCGACACCCCAGGTTCAATACCACTGGGTAAACTTGGGCTCTGTATAACCATGAGGGCTTCAGTTTCATCAGTTAAATAGCAACAATAACTTACCTCACAGGGTTTCTAGAAGATCCGTTTAGATATTTTGAAGCACAGAAGGAGTTGAATGAACATCATTGAATGAATTGAAACTTTTTGGAAGAATGAAACTCTTTAGGAATCCTATGTATCACTTTCAACACCCCCAGGGGGTATCTAGTAACAGGCCCTGTGTTCTTTGGCTGTTAAAAAAGAATTTGCAAGCTGGAATTTTCTACAGTCGTCCAGATAAAGACGACATATGGCTTATTCTGGTTTGAAGCAAAATTTCTTCTTTATTCTCACCAGGATCGAGATGACCACAGCCACCACTCTGGGAGATGCCACCTTCTTCTTGAACATGACCACCAGGGGAGAAGACTTCCTGTACAAGAGTAAGGCCACCTTGGCACCAAGGCTGGGGAGGGCTGGCTGGGCCCGAGCCAGGCCAGCTCCTGGTGCAGAAGTCCAGAGCATGGGCTCTGGAGATGGAGTGCTGGATCTCAGTCCCTGTCCTACCCCTGGCTGGCTGTGTGACCTGGGCACATAACCTCTGTTTGGGGCCTTAGTTTCATCAGTAAGATGGGGATATTAGTGAAGCTGCCACACACGGGTGTTGTAAGGCTCAAACAGATAATCCACATAAAAGTTCAGAACAGCCTCTGGTGCAATAGCACACCCCTGTAATCCCCGCAGCTCGGGAGGCTGAGATAGGAGGATTACAAGTTCAAAGCCAGCCTCAGCAAAAGCAAGGCACTAAGCAACTCAGTGAGACCCTGTCTCTAAATAAAATACAAAATAGGGCTGGGGATGTGGCTCAGTGATGGAGTGAACCTGAGTGCAATCCCTGGTGCCCCCACCCAAAAATCCTGTCAACTCTTAAAGGAGTAAATTAACGGGGGAGGAGATACTTGGGGAGATACTTGCCAGGAACAAGGGGTCCCCAGAATGAAAAATTTGAAGACAGCTTGTTCAGAAAACCAACTGATTATATAAGGAGAAGCAGGGGACCCTCTCAGCCACCTCAGTTGGCTGTGTATAACTGTCCGAACCTCCACCCAAGGGACAGCCTTCCCCACACGAAAGTCCAGTTTTCCCCAGGGACAGCTTCAGGCTGCGGCACCTGCAGGTGGCTGGATTAATGACAGGCTTCAGCTCCTCCTTGGAGACCCAGAAGGAGTCGCTCTCAGGGGGGGTCCCCAGGTTATCCTGCTGCGAGATGGGTGGGCAGGCCTGCCGAGCCCTCCCTACAGTCCCCAGGGGAAGTAGAGAGAGTGACACTAGGTCACACGGGCACGCTCCTGTTTTTTCTTAACTAAAAGGACGTGGTCCTTCAAGCCCTGTTGGGGCTGGGGGGATTGGGGCATGGCCACTCTCGATATGACTCTGCCCTGGGGTCATCAAGGACTGAACATCACTGTCTCTTCTCCAAACTCTGCCATAAGCCAAGTCTATTCTTTGTGTGTGTGTGTGTTAATATATATTTTTTAGTTGCAGGTGGACACAATACCTGTTTATTTTTATGTGGTGCTGAGGATCGAACCCAGGGCCTCACACGTGCTAGGCGAGCGCTCTGCCACTCTAAGCCACAACCCCAGCCCCTCAGTGTACTCTTAGAAGCCCCAGCACAGCTTCAAACTTTTCCTGTGAAACAGCAAAACGCCCTCTCCTTGTTTCAATAATACAAAAGTAATGTGATTTTTTTGTACATAATTTTGAAATCATAAATACAAGCTAAAATGGAGGAGGAAAAAGACCTCATTGCTCTAAGAACCATGGGTCATCTCCCCGTGTCTGTATTACCAATGAGACCATGTATGTGCATATTAAATCCCCATTAATTTTTAAAAATAACTTGGTGATCCTATATCCAAAAAATCTATCCTAAGGAAATATTCTTAAATGTGGAAAAAAAAATAGTCTCATGGTAAAAATGCAGCCATGTTCCATATTCTGTTTTCTAATATCATCATCATCTTTCCATGTAATTACATATTTTTCTTCATGGCGTTTGATGGCTGCATGGAACCCCCAGTCCAGGAGCACCATAATCTTCACCAATTCCCGATATTCTCCAATGTTGAGAACACTTATGTTGTTTTCATTTTTCACTATTAAAAACAAGGCTACGATGAATGTCCTTAGTAGCTTTAGTATATCAGACTCTTGTTTCAATATCATCTCCTCCTGGTCCCTAATTTTAGGTTCAAAGTCAACATCCATGTCAGAACTGATATTGAACATATCAGGAACCATAAAAATATCCATACTTTAAGTCATTCTATGTGATTCTGGGGAGCTCATTTTAAGGGAATAATCCTAAATACCAAAAAGCTGTATGAGGGTTTATTACCACATTACTCATATTCTAGATGGTTTAACAAGGTGTAATCACTTATCCCATGAAATATCATATGGTAAATGTTGGTTAAGAAGACTATGGGAACATAGTCTTCTTGTGATGGCATAAAATGTAGAAATTAAAAATATATATAAACATACCCACCTATTTTATACACATGTCACAACCACTAGATTTGTGCATAGAAACATAATGTTGAATAAAAGAAACCAGGTGAAAAAGGTATTCTTCCATTTAAATGGTACTCTTTCCATTGACAGGAAGTTCAAAGCCAGGTGGAACTCACCTGTGAGACTACAAGGAAGTTCCCTGGGCTGCCTGGAGGGGGCGCCAGGCCTCCCGGGATCCAGGTGCTGGTCTGTCTTGATAGGGTGGCTCTTTACACGGGTGTGTGTACTCTGGAAATTCCCCCAGCTTATGATTTGTGTACTTTTGTGAATGTACATCATGCCTTTCTAAAACACAAAACAAAGCAAAAACCACGTACAAATATTCATAGGAAGAAAAAGACCAGAAGGGGACTGAGGAGGGGCAGGGCAGCCACCCACCACAGGGCAACGAGGCCCTCTCCCTCCCTGTGGAGTGTCGTGTGGAGACTTTAATTAAGGTTTCCAACCTCTGCTGGATAATCTCTGCTGTGGGGAGCTGTCTTGTGCTTCGTAAGATGGTTGGCATTATTCCTGACCTCCACCCCCTAGGTACTAGTCACAATTCCCTCGTCTGTCCCCTGCTCCCAAGTTGTGTCAGCCAAAACCGCTGCCCGACATTGCCAACTGACCTTTGGGTGGTAGGGTTGCCGGATAAACTCGGGAATTCCCATTTAAATGAGACCTTCAGACAAGTAATAAGCAAATATTTGGTATAAGTAAGTCTCCAATGTTGCCTGGCAAAGACACTAAAATATTATCTTTGTTTACTTTAAATTCAAATATAAGTCCGTGTCCTAGGCAAGGAGGCGAGAGGGGGATGTCCCGGTCCCTCCCTGTTGATGGCAGGACAGGGCCACATGGAGAGTGGCCACGCACCTCCCCACCAACAGGGCTTGAAGGACCCCGTCCCCCTTCCCTGGCGCAGAGGGCGCCTCCCCCTCCGCTCTTGGGACTGCGCGCCAGTTGCCCCTTGGCTCCCCTCCCCTCTGCAGGTTCTGGAGCCATCGTCGCCGCCATCGTGGTGGTTGTCATCGTCATCTTCACCGTGGTTCTGATCCTGCTGAAGATGTACAACAGGTACGGGGGCCCTGGGCTTTGTCCCCTTCCGTGTGGGAACAGGCGCTGGGCTCCAGTCACATGCTCAAGGTGGCTCAGCCCTCATGCGCCCAGGGGGGATTCAAACCGTCCTTCTGGTTACATGTAGTAACAACTGTTAGCTTTTTGTTGCTGTGACCAAAACACCTGACAACTTGGTGTTTGTTGGAGCAGGAAAAGTTTATTTCAAGTTTATAAATTTCACAACTCCAGTGCGTGGTCAGCCAAGTCCATTCGTCATGGCCAAGGGGCGTGGCAGAGGGAAGCCGCCCACCTCCTGGCAGCTGAGGGACAGAGCAGGGGGAAGGGTCTGCAGGGAAGATGGACCCTTCCAGGGCACAGTCCAGTGACCTGCCTCTGCCAGCCTATAGCCACCACACCGTCTAGTCGCACCAGGGCGAACCGATTAGCTTCAGCCCTCATGATCCAGCCGTGTCACCTCTGGGGATTCCTGCATCAACACAGGAACTCTGGGGGACACCTCATATCTAAACCGTAACGATAGCAACGACAACAGGAAGAGAAGAAATTGGGTCTATCCCAAACCAAGAAGTGGCATCCAGTCAAACCCCGATGTCGACCTCCCTTCCTCTCCTTTGCGGCTGGAGCTCTGGGTCCCTCTCCCAGGTTGTCATTGGTTGGACACCCCAACTCACCACCTGCTGCCCACACTGCTGCCTGGGCTGGGAATGGAGGCTTGGGTGCATCTTCGTGCTGTCAAAACCTGTGTCTCCACTCCATGATCTTTAAAATGGAAGGGTCTCAGAGTGGGATGGTTGAGTTGGGAACATATTGGAGAAGGCCCTTGTTCTTTATAGGAGCCTAAAGGACCAAAGTCATGTGATCAGTCTGCCTCTGGCTCATGATTTTTAAGAACTCTGAGCACATGCAAAGAGAGAGAGACAGAAAGACCGATAAGAGAGGAAACCAAATAGGATAGCTTTTTAACAATTGGTAAATTGGTGAAGTGTATTGGGGTACTAATTGGAATATTTGTGCAACTTCACTGAGGATGTAAACTTTTAAAAAACACTTATATCAACAAGATAAAATATTATGTAAATGTTAGAAGTCCTGATTGTTAGTTATTGACTTTTATGGCACAGGAAGTGAAGATAGGATATACCTTTTAAATACATTCCCAATGACATAAAAAGCTTTTAAGTTGGGCCCAACAAGGAATGGCACTTGCCTGTTATCTCAGCAACTCGGGAGGCTGAGGCAGGAGGATTGCAAATTGGAGGCTAGCCTCAGCAACTTAGTGAGGCCCTAAGCAACTTAGTAAGACCCCATCTCAAAATTAAAAATTTAAAAAAAAAAAGGGCTAGAGACTTAGCTCAGTGGTAAAGCACCCCAGGTTCAATTCTAATACAAAAAAAAAATTTTTTAAAGCATTTACATATTTCTAGCAATAAACTTAGCAAGCCTGTGAGGCTGCAGAGTTTAATTCACAGTACACCTCTGAACAAAAGACAGGTAACATCTTCATTTTGTCGTGAATTTAGCCACTCGTCTGACACCTTACTCATTCATTAACCTAAGCCAAAAAAACTAAATAACTAAGCTGAACAAAAAAATGGAAGGTTCAGACTAGCTGATGGCCGAGGTCCCTTCCAGGTGTGAAATTCTGTGGTCAGCAATTAAGCCGCGTGACTTGGCGATGATGTGCACTAACCTTTCCACCAGCACCCTAGCCACAGCCCATTCCCCGCCGCAGCCGCAGGAGGGAGAAGACCCTGCCACACGTGCCCCTGTCTTTACAGGAAGATGAGGATCAGGCGGGAGCTGGAGCCCAAGAGCCCCAAGCCGGCTGCCCCTTCTGCCCTGAACCCAAACAGCAGCAGCAGCCAGCAGCCCGCAGCGGCGACCTTCGGCCCGGCTGATGTCCACGTGGAGACCCGGTGACCCCTGCCCAGGGAGCTCTCTGCAGAGCGGAGACCCAGCAGCGCACTTCTCCGGCGGCTTTGCCACGAGTCCCTCCGGTCGGGTGGACAGAGGCATCTTCCACGCATCCCTGCGGCTTCAGGGGGTCCTTAACCTCATTCTGGCCTGACCCAGCCCACCCGCGCCCACGTCCCCGCTGCCACTCTCCCGAAAGCTGTGCAAGGTTTTTGTGTCATCTGATGAGGTGGCCCTACACTGAGGACCCATGGATGGGGGTTTGGCCTTCTGCCCACAAACACATTAGCTAGACAGACAGACAGACAGGCAGACAGGTAGTCCTGACTCTTCTGGTCAGGAGTCATGGGTCAAGGAGTGCTTCTGAGAGTGTCCCGGAGTCTTCTCAGATGAAGTGCCCTGGGCACAGCTTTGCAGAGCAAAACACTGAATCCCCTCATCAGGCACAGGGGGACTAACCTGGACTAACTAACCAGAAAACCAACTTGTTAATTTATAACCTGTTCCAGGACTGGGTGACCGCTAGCTTGCTAGCTCATGACGATTGGTCAGCACATTTCCCCCCCTTTAAAGTTAAAAAGAAAACGGAATTCTTCTCAAAAGTTTCTGCCTTGTTATTAAAGCGTCAGCAGAAGGAGTAGGTGACCTCCAGGAATAGCAGAGGTAAAGGTTGTCCCATTGTCCCTGGGCTTGGGATGAGCCTGGTGGCTAGTCAGGGTTCTTCCTCGGGCTCCAGGGGGACTGGCCCGACACTGTCTCATTTCTCTGGGTTCTAACCAGCCCTGACAGTCCTGTGAACCCCTTCCCTCCAGCGACCCTTCTTTGGAGACGGCTTAGATTCCAACTCTGTTACTTCTGTCCTTCTTGGTCACCTTGCAGAGAGACCCGACATATCCAAAGCACCACATTCACACACCATTTCCCTGTAGAGAGCTCATCTCTCACCCTGAGCTGGGAGAACAATCTGCATATTAGGGACAACATTTGGGGATTGAGAAGGCAGCCTTCCAAGTCCTTCTTCAGGGTGGGTGACCTTGGAAAAGTGACCACCTTTCTATGTTCCGTGGTGGGAATGGAAACAGCTGCCTCGTGGGGTTATCACAAGTCAGAGACCCAGTAAAGCAGCCTGGGTACAGCGCCTGGCCCCCAGAAGACAATTAGCAAATGGGAACAAGCATAATTACCGATGGTATCAGGTAATGACGGAGGCACACAGATTTGGTGACGTTTTAATGATCCTGAAATCAGAACACGTCTCACAGTGGATGGGTCCTCATTTCTTTTTTTATTCTTTCTTTCTTTTGACTCAATTATACATCTTATAATCGATGACATCCTGGGAACAAGGTAATAAATATTGTGTCATAGAAAGTGACCTAGTGTGACATTTACCCTCAAGATCTAGGAGTCTCTCCGTCTTGGGGTCGGAATTACCTTTTGAAATTGATTGGCAATGGGGTAAGAGGACTGGCCCAGGTCACACAGGTCATTTATCTCCCTATAAAGATACTCCTTTGAATAGCTCTGGAGACGTTCCGGCAAATTCCTCCACCACCATCTTTTCTTCCTTCTTTGTCTCAACATCTGTCAGCACCCACTACTCTGTAATGTGCTTTCACATGAATCAGCCCATAAGGTTTAGTTTTCCCCAAAACCCTGGAAGGTATTATTTTGTCCATTTGCACATGAACATTTCCAACTAAAAAATAATCAGTATTTGTCTACAGTCACACAGCAGGAGTTGCAAAGTCGGGACTCAAAACAGGTCCCTCTCTGTCATATCACTCTGACCTGCCATCCCGACCCAATGAGGCACAGGCCCCTCTGTGAGCTGAACGGGGGACAGGCTTGTCTGTGGTTGCATGGAGCCCAGGGCCTGGCTTTCAAGCTGAAGGCAGGGGCAAAGCCGTTTTGGCAGCAGCCTTTGGGCCTCGGTGATCAAAGCCCTTTCTGAGGCCGTCCAGCTCTCAAGCCTCCTGCTTCATTCACTGCTGAGACCCTAGGGGCAGGGGGCAGGACACCCAGCCAGGGCAAAGCCCCAAACAGGTATGCTCCCTTCAACATTTGCTGCTTAAAAAAAAAAAAAGTTTGGAATGTTTGAGGCCTAAACTCTACTCTTCTCCACAGTGGGGTCTCCCTGGGGCCAGGCTCCACCAGGTCTGGTTTTGCTGTTATTGCAACCCTGGGGATGGAACCAGGGCCTGCATAGGCCAGGCAAGTGCTCCTCCTGAGATGCACCCCGCTGTGTTTTGCTAAATGGAGGTTTGACATGGAGGAGAGAAGGGGGACAGGGTGGTGAAGGGGACGCAAATAAAAGGATTTGAGGGTCTTGTTTTTAACTAATGCACATGACTCAGTAAACATGCTTTAAGGGCCCCTGAGGGCAGGTTGAGGTGCCACCATGTACATGAAGGTGGGGATCCCTGCTCTGCAGGGGCCAGGGAGCCGGTCCTGTCACCGGGGACCCTGCATCACTGTTCTGGATTTCCTTTCTGACGAGGTGCCTTGCTTGACTGAGTAGATGTTCCCTTATTTGGCCACTAAATCAATAAAAGATATTAAATGCTAAAAGAAAAAATTTAAAACTAAATAAGTTTTAAATCCAACATGTGTTAGTTCATTCCAATGACGTCGAGAGCTAAGGAGCGTCTCTTCCAAAAGCCGCCTTTCCCTGACAATGTCAATCGGGATCTTTGGGAACTCCTGGACCCTTTCACAGACTTCCACCACTGAGGGGAAAGGCAGGCCCCCTCTACAGACCTTCCTGTGGGTCACAAAACGTGTCGATGTGCTCAGATTTGACAAGTGGAACCCCATTTTGCAGCCTGCAGACAGAAACCAGAGGCATCGAGATGCCAAGGTTTGGGGACCTCC